TTGTGTGTCCGCTCCTACCATTCCTATAGCCACTCACATCAGCTCCCTGCAACCAGGATGTTGACAGATGCTTACAATGGTCCGAAAAATCTGAGGCTCTGTTCAACACCACCAAGTGTGTCCACGTACCATTTCGCAGACCCATGAGTAAAGTACTAGGTCCTAATTATGGAGCTATCGTGATGCATGATACGTTACTGTCTCAGCCTTCTTCACATCGACACTTGGGTATCATCCTAACCCCATCATTTAATCTTACTGCACGCATACAAAGTATTACCAATCAATTCCGTGGCCGCGTACTTCTCTTATACCATTTGTCAAATTTTCTCCCTCACGGTACAACGAATTTAGTTCAATTTACTGTATAAATGCTATGTCCGTCCACTTCTTGAATATGCTGTTCTCATATGGATTTTCCCCTTAGTGTAACACTGTCAGCAAGGCTTGACAAATTGCAGGCTGTAGCTGCAAGAGCTTACCTAGAGAGTAAACGGAAGCGTCGGCCTGACTGGTTCACGCCAAAGGAGAAACTTAAAATGAACTTCCCTCCTGGGAATCACTTGCATGGCGGCGGCAAATGTTAGGCCTCGCTTACTTCCACCATGTTTTTTCCCCGATACCCATCATTGTGGCAACATTTCTCTTTTTCCGTATCCCGTAGTAGTCGCCATCCATCTTCTATGATTCTCCACAGTCCACTTCACTCAATGCCCTCTATTTTGTAGGGAGCGGCGGATTCTGCTCGAAAAGGTGGCAGATTCTGCTCGAAAAGCAGAAAAATTGGCAGAACCATACAAACCTTATGGCGGGCAATTCCTCGAATTCTGCTCCATGTCTTTATCCACATACCAAACATGCACGAAACTTACCAGAAAAAGTACCGAATTCTGCCAATTTTTTTGCCGGCAGAATCCGCTGGACCCTATGTCTCAGTGTTGCCTAGAATAAGCTGCCAGAAGAAATCCGCTGTCTGACATCCGCTAGCCGATTTACTGTTGCTGGGCGTAGACACTATCTGCACCACAAGTATTCTGGGCAAGGCATACCGAAATCTTGCAAGTAGCTTCTGCTGTTCCTGTTTGTATTATTTTTATTTCCTCACCTTGTCATGTCCCTTCTTCCCTCTCTCATAACAGCCACATTCACTTCCTTTCCTCAGGAGACTCCCTTTGATAGGCATCCATTTGCCTCTGGAGAATCCTTGAAAATATAATATCAATATCAATCAAGAATATAGTGAAGAATATCAATCAACTATTTAATTATTATTATTATTAGTATACGACATGTACAAAGAGGCCCGAAAAAACCGATAAGGAGATCGAGATACAATAATAAAGAAGGAAGAGAAAAAGACATATGGATACGAGTTAAGAGTAACTCTCCATCACTGTAACATGATACTATATACAGTCAGAAAGTGCAATAACTAGGCACAAAACTGACAGAGTACTGAAACATTCGACGTCCTGACACCTAGCTTCAACACATCTCCGTAGCGCTAACCGACAGCCTTCCAACTTGTATATAGTATCATGTTACAGTGATGGAGAGTTACTCTTAACTCGTATCCATATGTCTTTTTCTCTTCCACATTTATTTATGGCTCAACATCCGAGTTTCAAATAAAGAAGGAGCAAGCCATAATTTATACTTATAATATTATGACAGCTTTGAGTCAGACCAAGGCTGGCTGGATACGACACAAGCTTCATTTGCAGCACCGGCGTACCGTAAAGAGCTACAATAGTAGCTACGACCCTTTGAACAAAGCAGAAGAAGACTAGAAAATCTTCTGCTTCAAGAAAATCCAGTAAAGTGTCATGTACATGTATTAATTAATGTGTGGATTTGGCATTTGTCCCCAGCTCTATTCTATATCATTCACGCCGGAACTACTGCTGCACAGCCCCAAGTCTGAAGACTTGGCAACTTCACGCCTGCACCTGACTCTTGCGCTATGATACGCGTCGCCTATGACACCCTCAGAATTTCCCAACTTGCTCCCCCTTTATGTTCTAACTGCCCGTTTTGGATCCATCAGTTGCCTGATGATCGTAGTACAGTAATACGTGAAACTGAGAGTTGTAACAAAGCTTCCAAACTCTCTCTCTTGTAATAATAATTATTATTGTGTACATGTATTACTATTATACACTGTAAGAGTACTACAGTGCTGGCAACTGAAATCCTACGCCCTTGCCGGCGCGCCGCGCCGGCAAGGGCGTAGGATTTCAGTTGCCAGCACTGACTGTAGACCATGGTAGACTGTGTAGTAGTTGTTTGCAATAATTATTATAGTATTAGGCCAAAACAAAAAATAGGCTTGTTTCCGGTCGGCCACCCCTCAAAAAGGAGACTCGGTCGGCCGGAATGAAACTTTTTTTGGATACTTTTTTTTGGTTCCTCAATCGTTGTGGTATTGATGCAATGATGGACAAGAGCACCTACATGTACACATGTACATTGTACATATATCATGGCAAGGATCAATGTCAAAGTTGGCTGACTCACTGTTTTTGTACAGCATGTGGTGTATTCCTGTTTTCGTACCTCCTGAGAAATCAAGCAAACATTTCGAGTCCTTCCAGCTCCGTTATTATAGCTCGTATCGACCCCGGAGGGTTTCAAGCCGACAGCTGAGAATCTCTGCTACCTTGTAGGTGTTTCGATTGTGGAATTCGGTTGAGATGTGACCGAGTTATGACTCGTTGAGTGCACTTGCACACATGGCAGTGCCACCGTTTGTATACATTTGGGACCAAAAAAAAGTTTCAGAATTTGGGAAAAAGTGGCCCGGTCGGCCGACCGGAAACAAGGTCATTTTTTGTTTTGGCCTTAGTATTACTTTGCATTTATACGCAGAGCTCCCTACTGCATCATGTCATGTGAAGACAAAAATTAATGCGGATGAAGACTTTTTAAAGGGGAAGTATACCCTAAAATCAAATTTTCACCAGTTGTAGTCTTCGGGGTGCTGAGTCGAATGGTCTTGGTCCGAGGAAGCTGAGACGCTCCCTTCCTACTTGAATCCCAATCGAACTCGCGCACTTCCACCGAAACTGGGTGACTGCGCCCTACTAGATGGGGATTTGTATGCAAAATGTCACTAAAAGCGCCATTTCGTTCTTATAAAAGCACGGATGACCGCGATTGGCCCATATATTGTAGTCTTTTGGACGCTGAGTCGACTGGTTTTGGTCCGAAAAGGCTGCGATGCAGCGTTCCTCCTTTATTCCCAATCGAACATGGTTGAACAAGCGGTCACGTGCTCCTGCGTACACCAGTCACCTGGTCACCGTGCCTGCAGGGTACAACTTACTAGCCTGTTTGACCTTTTTTGGGTGCAGTCCTGTCACTCGAGTTGAACTCGAGTTGAACCTTGGTGTGAAAGTTGTCGCCTGCTGGCGCGGTGACCAGGTGATTTGGGCACCCAGGAGCACGTGACCGCTTGTTCAACCATGTTCGATTGGGAATAAAGGAGGAACGCTGCATCGCAGCCTTTTCGGACCAAAACCAGTCGACTCAGCGTCCAAAAGACTACAACATATGGGCCAATCGCGGTCATCCGTGCTTTTATAAGAACGAAATGGCGCTTTTAGTGACATTTTGCATACAAATCCCCATCTAGTAGGGCGCAGTCACCCAGTTTCGGTGGAAGTGCGCGAGTTCGATTGGGATTCAAGTAGGAAGGGAGCGTCGCAGCTTCCTCGGACCAAGACCATTCGACTCAGCACCCAGAAGACTACAACTGGTGAAAATTTGATTTTAGGGTATACTTCCCCTTTAAAGTGGCCGTCTGGTACGTAACACGTCTACGACTGACAGTCACACATGTTAGTTTGACAGCATGAAACAAGGAGGACACTGTGTTCGGAAACGGTGACCTTATTATAGCCAAGTATTGGGTAACAGTCTGCACTAGACCGTAGCTGGTTCCGTTGAACTGTGTCTTCAAAGTAACTTAGTTGCTCAAGAGTCGCCTGTTCACCAATGGTCATCTACAACGAGCTTCCTTCCCGTCTACTAGTACTACTACTAGCTCTTCTTGCGAAAAGCCGCGAACGTCGAGATACAGGCACGTGGTTAGGACTTACGATGAGTTGTATATTTATTGCACTTGGCTCAAAACAACAGTCTCGACCCAATTCTCAAGAAACTGCTTACTCTAGTCATGACATCCGACAACCCGTCACAGTTGGGAACTGCGCAGAGGCTCTCCCTGAGCTTTATAACCATTGACTAACATTTCTGTGTCACGACGAACGAGCTATAAAGTCAGTATTGCCATAACCTGATAACAATAATAATGGAAACCTTACACACACACACCATCTTCAATCCAATTGGTCTCTTCGCTGCAAATTACAATACTTCTCAAGACCAATTGGATTGAAAATGGTGTGTGTGTGTGTGTGTGTGTGTAAGGTTTTCCATTTGATGAAGTGGCTGCAGTGTGGAGCTTGCGCACATTTTAAAGAAATAATAATAATAATGCCAATAAATACAATCATGCAATGGCGTACGTATACGGCTATGTGTATGGTGCTTGAGTAGGGTACGCGAACGTACTTTTTACACACCAGTGGCTACGAAGCGATGGTGCAGGTTCAAATCACAATACGAAAGGTTGTCGATGTTTGAACTACCTAAGCTGAATCGGAAATAGAAAACATACTCCAGCCCAGAGGAGGCCTGGACATTCTGGCGGTCGTTTTATCGGGTCTGCCGTAGCACTGAGCCTGCAACAGCCATAGTCTAGACCCGTTCCAGTTTGTTGTAGCCTGATTCTCATAAAATCCAGCCTTTCTGTTCCGGAAGTAGAGCCCTCGCGCAGTACGGCAGATAGTGGTATCGTGGGCTGCGATCGTTCTATTCAGGTCTGCGAGTGCATGCAATCAGCCATAGGCGGCATTCAGGAGCACTACATAGCTGACGCGGCATGGATCTGCACGCACACTGCACAGCATCACTGGCCTTTGACATCAGTTTGATTCAACACACTGATCATGCAGTCATACTCATAGCCTTTCCGTGGAGCAGCAGCGGAGAAGATTTTATGCAGGCCATGTATTAGCTGCAGCATTTGTGCTGTTTTTGCCAATCAACCACCTGATCAGTGCAGTGCGAAGCGAGAACGTAGGTCTTGTTGTCGGTGCACAGAGATATTTCCATGTCACAACAGTAGCCCCATGATCTGCCACAGACGATAGGTTTGAGTGAAATATCCGCTAGATCATTCACCTACAGGATCGCTGCTGTCCTGTCATTGTGAACTGGAGTAGGGATAATCAGCCAGAGCGTTGTATATTCAGAACATCACACTAGTGACTGTGTTTCTACGAGGAAGCCGCTCAGTTTGTGTTTGCCTGGTCGCTGGAATTCGACGACCAGCGGCTGGTGTGAGTTCGACTCACGATTTCAGCACTAGATCAGAGGTAGCCTGCCTCGCGCTGTTCGTAGGGAAAGAATTAGACGTGAGCGTGAGTTGCGTTGGTGAAATGGACGCTATTTATGACGATAGCAGTGCGCCATCGTCGCCGGAACCTTCCGGGTACGCTCAGGAGCAAATCGCACCAGCGTTTGTCGTGGACAAGACAGCAGATCGAGGAAGGACTCTACCGTCGGCCATGGCGGAGGAGAGAGCGAAAGTCGTGGCCGTGTTCAACTCGTGCCGAACGCACGGTATGTGCAGCATGGGCGCCATGAATCATCTCCGAGACAGCCTGTGCGATGTGGAGCTGCTGGTGGAGAAGAAAAGCATTCGGGCACATCGTGTTGTTCTGGCCGCGTGTAGTCCCTATTTCCGCGCCATGTTGGCTGGCCAGATGACAGAACGCCACCAACGGACGATCGAAATGCACGACGTGGAGTACGAATCGGTGAACAGCATTGTGGAGTACTTCTACACAGCGTCGCTGAGCATCAGCATAGAAAGTGTGCAGCAGCTAATGGTCACAGCCAGCATGTTACAAGTCAAGGAAGTCCAGACTGCCTGTGCTCGCTTCATGCACGAACACCTGGAGACAGCCAATTGCCTGGCCGTGCTGCAGTTTTCCATCCTATTCAACTGCGACGACCTGCGTAGAGCCGCGATACGCTTTGCCGAGCTCAACTTCAGGGAGGTGGCGGAGAGGGAGGAATTTCTAGAGCAGCCGCTCAACGTGGTGGTGTCTCTCATCTCCAGCGCAAAGCTGGCCGTGGAGATGGAGGAGTTTGTGTACGAGAGCGTGATCCGCTGGGTGCGGCACGACACTGAGTCGCGGCGCGAGCACTTTCCCGTGCTGCTGAAGCACGTACGCCTGTGGCAGCTGACGCTGCCGTACCTGACGGAGACGGTGAGCCATTGCGACCTGGTGCGCATGAGCCTGGAGTGCCGCGACATGATCGACCAGGCCAAGGACTACCACCTGCTGCCGGAGATGCGATCGCGCCTGACGCTGATGCCGGCGCGGCCGTGCACCATCGGCGTGCTATTCGTCGTCGGCGGCATGAACAACCTTGGCCTGCCGGTCGAACGCGTAGAGAAGCACGCGCTGGAGAACGTCGGCGGCCCGGTACCCGTCAAGGCGAGTGGCAGCAGCTCGCACTCGACTAGCGGCGGTCAGGACGAGGGCAGCGCCACCGCCAGCAGCAGCACCAGCGGGGTCGACTCGTCGCCGTCATCGTCGGGTGGTTTCGACGTGCCGCCGCTCTACATCGCTCGCAGCGGTCTGTCCGTGGCCATCATCAAGGACAAGCTGTACGCGATCGGCGGGCACGTTCCCGGCAAGCTGGGCCCCGAGGGCAACGGCTACCTGAACAGCGTGGAGTGCTACGATCCGGCGACTCGCAAGTGGGAGTTTGTGGCGGAGATGAAGCACGCACGCCGTTACGTTGCCGTGACGGCTCTCAACGACAAGCTCTACGCCATCGGCGGATGCAACGCTAAGGAAGTGAGTAGTGGTCGTGTCGTCGTGTTGCTGCTCATGTTTGTGTCCTCCCTATCTGTATTGTGTATGGCCACACGGCTTTCTAAATAGGACTTGAAAGTGGTACGGTACTGCCAGGTGCTGGGGCGGGGGGTCAGTCATGTAGCCCAGGCCGTTGATGTGATCTGTACAGTGCTGCTCAATGAAATCCAGTCGAGTCACTCGTACGCGCCGGGCGTTGCGAACACTGGGCTGCGAAATGCTGCAAGGTGCAAACTTGACTCGCGCCACCATATTTCATTGAGCAGCGCTGTACATCAGCCAATGCCCAGTGGAGTTTGAAAGTTTTCCGTACTGCAGTCGGCATGCATGTATGTATATTTTTGGTGCGTTTTATTTTAGCATTTTTACTTATTTTTTAGGTAAAAATTACCTGTACCGGCACCTTGGTTGTCACGAGAAATTATTTAATTTATTGATTCGTTGATTCCCTGTTTTCTGTGCGTTTCCTTTTGTTTTAATTTGCGCGCACTGTGCAGGTGTTGGACGTGACGGAGAGCTACGACCCGGTGACAAACAAGTGGACGGAGTGCGCGCGCATGCGTTGCCCGCGGCGACACGCCGGCGCCGCGGCGCTGGGCGAGAACGTGTACGTGGTCGGCGGGCACGACGGCAACACGTACCTACGTAGCGTGGAGTGCTACAACCCCAGCACCGACCAGTGGACGGCCATCTGCTCCATGGCGGGCAGGCGCGGCGGCCTCGGCGTGGCCACCGTGGAGAACCGCCTGTACGCCGTGGGTGGTTACAACGGCTCCAAGAACCTCAGCACCGTGGAGTACCTGGAGGAGGAGCACACGTGGAAGATGGCCGTGCCGATGAAGACGTGCCGGAGCGGACTGGCCGCGACGAGTGCCGGCGGCCGTTTGCTCGTTGTTGGCGGCCACTGCGGCTCGAGCTACCTGGAAACGACCGAGTGGTTTGAGCCTAGGTCCGGTCTGTGGCAGGCGGGCCCGCGCCTGGCTCTGGCACGTGCCGTGACCGGCGTTGCCGTCTTCACGAGTCGCATCGCCGCCATGGAGCTGCAGAGAACGCCGAACCCGGAGCCGACCAGCGAGATGGAGTCCTGGGACGACAACTGGGAGATGACGTTCACCAGCAACTCTCCATCGCGGGCTATGAGTACGCTTGTACTGCCAGCGGTAGTGGGAGAGGGCAGTGCACCCATGGCGGCTGCCGCTTCTGCCAGCGCACACGAAGATGTACGCATGGATGATTCATCCGTGTGACGACTGGACACGGGGAGGTACGCATGGATTATTCATCCGTGTGATTTCAGTAGCACGGCACGGCGAAGCATGGATGAATGACTCTTCTGGATGAAGAAGACTTGCTGCGGCCACTTGATTCTCAACACCATCAGCCCTAGTAGTGTGAGATGTACGCGGGGGAGCTGATGTCTCGCTCTGCAAAATGTGCGTCAGTACATCAAGTGTCCAAGTTGCTTGTAGAAGAAATGACTGCGTATGACCAGCTGCCGATGACCCAACGTGGCCAGGGTAACTCTTTTAAGTTTTAACACCACGTTCCTGAGAAGGAAGTGGTGGCGTTTTGAGGGAATCAACAATTAACATTCCACCACTGTTGATAATCATGCTCTTTTTATTCTGTCTCTGAAATTAATATTGATCTCAGTTGACTTGAATCCTCTGACCGATTTTCTGTCCTAACTGACTTGCATTGCCTTCGCTTTGACTCATCTCATCCTTCACCATCCAAATATATACAATGTACCTATTTCCTCGGACACTGCATGTGTTCGTATTCACGAGTACTATCACAAATCGCTGGTCAGGCATATCAAGTATGATCTCGCAGGACGTGTCATCAGGACTCGTTTCGTCTTTATCTTTTAAACTCAGCCAGTAGCACGCCGTTGTGTGTGTGTGTGTGTGTGTGCTACCACACGGTCTTGTCTTTTGTTTGCTATCTTTGTTAGTCTGCTGTTGCTGCTGCTGCTGTCCGCTTGTAGAGCATGTGAACCCAACTCATGAAATCGTCTCCTTAGCCATGGATGCTGTCACAGATCACAGTTTGAACTTTAATGCAGTACTAGTGTAGCGGACATTGAAATCTGTTGAGAAGTCAAGCGGCCACGGGGCGCTGGCCTTGCAGCCGCGAGCACTGCCGGCGGAATCCAAATTCAGGTGGTCGGGCATATACCACGGAAAAGAACATGCCCAAATAGGAATCTGCCTAAAGAGTGTGCTGTCAGCATCCGTGCAGCTAGAAGTATGATGTTTCTCACTACAGCAGGCGATGCTGTATTTGGCTTGCCTCCGTTTATATGGCACGCCAGAAATCATCCATATCTGGGCAGGAATCATACATGTTTGGCCAGAAATAGGCCATATTTGGCACAGCACTGGTGGCAATATCCAAATACGGTTGAGAAGTGGACAGTCGGATATGACTGGCGAGCCAGGTCTGTAGTGCAATTTACCGTAAATGACATTGGTACAAAGAAGATGTGTATGTCCATAATTTATTTCCCTCAACGAGATCAGGAAAATTCGCAGTTGTAGCATTCCGGCGGTGCTCATGGAAGAAAAGACCATTCGACAATTCGAAATCAAAGTTCAAAGTTCAACATTCAAAAACTCAGAAAACAGCCTGTGTGTGTGTGTGTGTGTGTGTGTGAGTGTGTGTGTGTGTGTGTGTGTGCGAGGCATGGCTCCTACTGATGTCTTGAAAATGGTAGAAAAGAAAAAAAGAGAAACACTGAATGATATTCTTGTTCAGCTTGGCACAGCTACGACAATCGGCATATGAGGAACAGAACTGGATTTCCTTACACCTGCAAAATACTCCCTGCTTTTCTGTCGCTAAGTGCGAATGCCTACTAGTAATCATAATTCATAAGCGATACCTAAAAACAGCTACGAGTCACGAGCTAAGTTGAACGTCAAGCACTGGCATATAATCTGCATCAAGCAGCCGGCATTTATTTAGATATCGAAAGACCACACAGTCACAGTTCTTCCATAATTATGGTCTAGAAATAGGGGAGTATGTGTTGTGTGTGTGTGGGGGGGGAGTCTTGGAAATAAATGTGTTTCATACCATAGTTTCATGCTTGAGGTAATCATGCCATCAGCACATGTGACAGCACACGAGTAGTTGCCGTGTAAACTTTCAAACAACAAGAACAGGACAATCTCACCACCAGAACAACGGCAAGGAACCTTCAGAGCTTGATCTTCTTCTTTTTCGTCTTCTGCTTGCTGGCCTGCTGCTTGAGGCGCTCTTCGATCTCCAGCCGTCGCTGTAGCTCTTGTTCCTGTGCGTAAACACAAGCAAGAAAGGTGGATTTCAAACAAAATCCGTGTCAAATATTACGCCTACAACGTAAAGGCACTGGCTGATCCACTCGTGTCAATAATCGACAAGAGAAGAGAGAAAATAAGTCAAATAACACGAGCGGCAACCAAACGGCAATCGTCAAGAAAAGGACGCGGCAACTTGGAGACCAAAGAGAGCACGTTGAAGCAAGCAACATTCGAAGAGGCAACATGTTACTCGCAGAGCACAAAACAAAAGAGCAAGGCCTGGATACATGTAGCTTTCAGCCAGAAATTCACAAACGACGACGCACCAGCTTTCTCCATTTTAGTCATTACAACCTATTGCCGGCCATTTAAAAATACAATAAAGCAATTCCCCACGCTGGGCTTTTAAAGAATCTGCAGCCAATCTCCTTATATATCTCTATTTGAAGCTGCTCTTTTAAAAGGTTCTAACTTCCTTCGTCTCTCATCTGCTATTGGCGCGAGCCACCATCGTAAGAATACCGAATAAAAATTCAGCACTAACACCAAGTAGTGTCTATACTACGAATCGTGACACATACCTGAGACTGCGCTTCGCTTGTTTTGCCCTTGGCCGGGGATTTCTTCGGCGATGCCTTGTCGGGCGACGTAAGAGCTGTGCCTTTTTTGGGAGAAATGGGCGGGCTGCGGAATGCACGCTTCGCCGCTGGCTCATCACTTCCGCTGACCGTACTAGGCACCAGGGAGGCAGGAAGACGATACGTGTACGAGCTGGAAGCGGACGGGCCAGGAACCAGCGACGACGGAAGTTCCTGCGAGTATGAAGCCATCATCTCGTCCAGCGGGTCCATATCCGGTACGTCGTCTTCGAAGAGCGAAGCACGCAGCAATGGTGACATACGCACAGACATGCAGACACACAAGGACTAGGTGAGACACAGTGAGAAACATTAAAAAAATACTCAGGTGCACGCACACAGAATCACACGAACACACACGTGCGCGCAAACACACACACACACATGCACACACCCTCGGACCTCAGACATGCCCATCGCGGAAGCGATGATAGCGAACAGCTATGTTAGACATAGCAACTTGTGCTGGCATTACACCATTCAACAGCTTGCAAGGCTGATGAATTGACCGCCACTATTTTCTAGCCTGGTATCCACCACACAGCTGATTGAAGTGTTTTTTTTCTGGCCAGTGAATCCCTATTTTTCTTTTTTCTTTTTTCTTTTTTACACACACACCACACCACATACTCCGGCATACACTGGCTGTTGGTAACCACCCAGGAGAATGAAAGAAGAGCTAGGAGAATGAGAAAGAGGAGAAAGACGTGTGCGACCATAATCGTCAGGAATCGAACCCGCAACCTATCGATTGGAAATCGCTGCACATACCACTGCAACATATGCACCCCCCCCCCCCTACACACACACATGAACACACACACACACACCACATATATACACACACACACGCACACACACACACGCGCACACACACACACACGCGCGCACACGCACACACACGCACACACACACACACGCACAGTACTTACCCGGTTGTTGATGCTGCCGGTGATGCTGCATCATGACCTGCTTGTACACATCGGAGAACGACTCAGTGCACAGAGCTGGTGATGATTCCAACAGACTGGTGAAATTCTACACACACACACACACACACACACACACACATACACAGACATACGCACACACGCACACACATACACACACACCAGGGGTGCTCAGAGTGACCGGCCGAAATGATCGCAAATGAAGTCAAATGAGCAACAAAGCATTTCTAAACCGGCTCAAAGCATCAACGTCAGAGCGCTCATGCTGCGAGAAACACAGCGAGCCCTGCATGAAGACAGATACCTCTAACGACAATCAGACAGAGTGATCAACGGAAACGAAGCTAGGGAGCGCAACACTCTTCCATCTATGCATGTTTGAATCCAGTTGAATCATGCAAAGGCAGAGTTGACAAGGCAGTAACAGCCTGCTATCTCTTAGCACAATGGTTGCTCAACCGGAGAATCCAGCTAAACCCAGCCATACATGCTGTGATCGGCCTGCTAGCCATGCAGTACAGGAGTCCATTGTGGGGACAAGACAAGGACTGATTTTATTCACAACGAGCATCCAGATGAGAAAGATAGATAGACAGAGAGAGAGAGAGCGAGAGAGAGAGAGAGAGAGAGAGAGAGAGAGAGAGAGAGAGAGAGAGAGAGAGAGAGAGAGAGAGAGAGAGAGAGAGAGAGAGAGAGAGAGAGAGAGAGAGAGAGAGAGAGAGAGAGAGAGAGAGAGAGAGAGAGAGAGAGAGAGAGAGAGAGAGAGAGAGAGAGAGAGAGAGAGAGAGAGAGAGAGAGAGAGAGAGAGAGAGAGAGAGAGAGAGAGAGAGAGAGAGAGAGAGAGAGAGAGAGAGAGAGAGAGAGAGAGAGAGAGAGAGAGAGAGAGAGAGAGAGAGAGAGAGAGAGAGAGAGACAATGCGGTAACAAACACCATACACTACAATACCCAGTTGCAAAATTGAACTTGAACCCAGAGTTGACCGTGAGCTTGTCTTGAGAAGAAAAATGATCAAAACATGAATACAAAAGCAGGACAAGGCAAACGGGACATACCTTACTGACAAGCATTTCGTTATCAAACACCTTAGCATCAAACGAGCTGGTCTCCAAGTGCCCTGTGAGGCGGAGCAGTGCAAGAAACAAGACAAAGCAAAGATTCAGAGAATGGTAGGACTAGCATACAGGTAGACGGACATGGTCCCTTACAACTACATGTACACTCATACCGCGGTTATCCGGACACCAAAGTTACGGGCACTTCGGTCCACCGGGCACCCTTTCGGTCAGTTTCAGTGGAAATATTACTACTCCTTTTTGCACTTTTTGTGGATACTGTATAACGTGTACTTTTCGGCGTACTAAAATGCCGGTGTCAGGGACCTGCCAGGTTTCACGTGTAACGTAGAATTAGGTGACCAGCATTCCCTTCAAACACAGTGCATACCCTAGCGCCGTTTAGGTGTAATCTTACATGCAGATGCCTGACTTCTCTACCGAAGTTACCGAAATTAAGGGTGCGTTCTTAAATCCTCTCGGAAAAGTTGGAGACTCTCCGAAAAGTTCGCGAGCTGTTCTTATATCCTCTCCGAATTTTAGGAGGCTCTCCAAGCTCTCCAAGCTTCAGAGGTGGCTGAAACTTGGAGAATCCCGCGGTTTGGGATCAGCGCATGCGAACTAGGCTAAAAGCCACATGTTGATCATGAGTGTACGCATTTCCCTTTTCGCATACGCACAGCGCATACTATATTCGTGGCACTCAAGATCGCGGCCCCTTTGGCGCTTCATTTTGCTTGACATGTGCAAAATATCTCCGAATTCTTCGAGACCCGTTCTTGAATTATCCCAGTTTCTTCGACTTCTCTTTTCTTCCTCTCATAGAAGCTAGAGAATATAAGAACGCACCCTAAAGTTACACCTAAAGTAACGTGTTATGCAGTACAACACAACGAAAACACGACAAGAACGAGACGAGTGCAACGCCGCACACGACTGCACTGCAGATAAGCGCTTACGTCTGGTGATCCGCGCTCCGCAGCTCTTGTACTCGGCAATCTCCTTATCCTTCTTGACGAGAAGCTGATGTAGCTCTTGTGTCCTGCGCTGCAGTTCCCCCGCGGTCAGCAACAGTGGACAGAGTACGTGCTCGCTCACCTGTAGAGACAGAATAATCAGTGCAAAATGAAAATTTAATGTTGAGAGCGCAATTTGTCCTTTTTTATCGCAATTATAAAGTTCTTTTACTTCACGTCCAGTCCTTGGCTACGCCACGTACAGTAGGAATATTGTTCCAAATCAGGGTGATGCTCTCCTGGGTGAACATTTGGAACAGTACCGTAAAGTACCCCCAAAGCGCCCCACCATCTCATCCTTCCGTGGTCGTATTGTGGAGGTGGTCTGCTGTCTGTAGGTCATACGACATGAACCTTGTACACATATTGCACGTTTTGCAGTCAATCCGTACCTTCGAGCGGACACAAGCTCCACACAAAAACCTGCCAAGTGTGACCTTAGTACACTAATATTCTCACATCGTACACACTTCGTTGCACTCTGCCATACGATTTTCCTTTCTCTGGCTGTAAAATCCAGGTGGGGCGCTCTCGCGAGGCGGGGCGCTCTGGCGGTACTTTACGGTATTATTACTGTACGTAGTGTAGCCAAGGACTGTTCATGTGTTGCGAATCGGAGGTGAAGCAAAACATGACAAGGCTACAATGGAGCTTCAAAGTTCTTAAAACAAATTACAAAGTTGTCTTGAAAATGAGGGATTTAACCCTTTGAGGCCCATAGTACGGATATATCCGTACCAGTGTGCAGTGCATACTTTTCAAAGTGCAATCTGGCGTAACTCGGCTGTCCTTGACCAAATCGAACAATCGAAAGGTCTATTGACATAAGAATTGTCTCAGCTATCGGCTCAAAAACACCCAAAGGCGATCCGAGACCGGAGAATGGAGTTATAAGACTCGAACTTAATTCGCTCAGCAGAGTCAACTCGGGTGCATGCATTTTGAACTAGTTTTTGGGGGTTTCCCCGACTCGCGGCCCACGCAGCCACAGATAGTTAACGTCATCGCAAAGGCATGTTCCTCAGCTCTCATGTAAAAATCTGAGCGATCTGCGCTACAATTTGTTGAAATGGCAGAGAATTTGAATTGGGCACTCGCAATACTGGCTTTGGAGCGCCGAAGCCCAAGATCACCAAAATCAGTCAAAGGACACCAAAGTTATGACCAGATAAGTAACTGGGCTCGCGTGTGCAGTGCATTCCTGGAAATAATCGTGGGCCCTAAAGGTAGGGATATCAGCGAACGCACTGCGCAGCCCATCTGCGCAGGTCAGCCTGGCCCATCTACGCGCGGCCGACAAGAAAACTCATGAACACTTTCAATTTTTTGCAAAATAAATCGTGCGAAGAAGATGCACGGAATGGCTGAAAACTAGGCTGAGGAATAGTAGCATCCAGAGACGCTCAAACAAATTCATGGTCCATCGCTTCTGACAATGGCAGCGAAGACATCAGGGAGCTGATTGCAGCAACTCTCTACCAAGCGCGATGCTGGTTACTCACCAGGGCAGGGCGCTTCCATCGCGCAAGAAATGGCCGCGAGCGAGAAATGGAAGTCCAATTTTGGAACGATCCAACCAGGGAAATTCCTTGAAAATTGGCCTGAACACCTCTCATACTGGTGTTTCACGATGTGCAAACTTTCAGAGAAATCGACCGGGGAGAACGTGGTGAGTACGTGGGGCCTCGAGTATCGCGTATGATTTGAATGGTCGCGGGGACAGAAGAACAGTAATTTTACGACTCCCAGCGGTGCAAATAGACAGCGGCCATGTTTTCTCTGTCGGCCGCGATCACGTTCAAAAAATCGATGACGCAATGCATGCGCAGAGGCCTGCGCAGTGCGTTCGCTGACATCCCTACTAAAGGGTTAAAAGTAACGTTAGAATAGTATAAAGAATTCAGGGCAATACATTCTACGGGGCAAGGATACCGCAAGAACACACACACACGCACATACGCAAACACACACACCAACACACACACACACACACACACAAACAGACACACCAACACAGACACCACCACACACACACACACAAACACACACACACACACACACATGCAAACACACACACACACACACACACACACACACACATGCAAACACACACACACACAAACACACACAAACACACACACACACACACACACACAAACACACACAAACACAAACACAAACACATACACACACACACACACACACACACACACACACTACTACTACTACTACTACTAGCAGCATGACTGCCCAGAGGGGCAAGTGTCACCCCTATGGAAAGGGGACCAGAAAACGGGACACGGATCACAAGCAGGACCGCGAATGTCTGGCTAGGTCCTGCTGCCGGCGGAAATTGCGTTTACAACGTGGGCAGCTGAGGGGCAGAGCTGCTCTCTCAGCAGCAGATGGTCTCGCACCACGATTGCAGTTGTGACGCTTGAACCCGGCCGCAGAACGGAAGCATCGCTGACATGTTGGGCAGTGCTGCTGGCAACAAGCTGAAAGTGGCACAGACAGACTGACTGTTGGTGTAGGAGAACTCGTGACAGGCTGGCATCGATGAACAGAGTAGCCACCCTTGCTGCGGAACCACCTCTGGCAGTTCTGGCATTGCACTGATCCACGCTGGAGCTGGATGGGAAGCCGTCTCTGAGTGGTGCACTTGTGCCGCGTTCTATCTGAGACCCGTGAGAAGTTCCGGTCACACACTGCGCAATGCACAGACTTGGGCATGGTGGAGCTCGACTGAGGGGCAACCCGTACTTCCCTCCACTGTTGGCGGTCCTGAGCAAGGATGAACCACTGAGATGGCTGTTGCAGTGCAACCTTGAGGTCGGTCATCACCGTGTCTTTCCACCGTCGCCGGGGACCACAAAACGGCCGAGGCACAGGTAGCCACCCAAAGAGGAGTTGGAGGGGGGTGCGATCCTCATCCATACGCGCAACGTGCCCAGTCCATTCCAGACGCCGATTGCGGAGGCGTGTAGACATCAGTACTGGGTCTCCCCAACGGTTCCGCAGGTCTGTGGATGACAGCCGCTCGGACCACTGACGAGGCTTGGTGATGCTGAGGACAGTCCGGATGCATTGATGGTGGAATTTATCCAAACTTCTGATATCCCGTTGGAGTGGGGTCCAACACTCTCCGCCATACAGTAATATTGAGGAAACGCAGGCCATGTACAGGTGGCGTTTACTAGAGAGGGACAGAGATCTGTCAGTGAATACCTTCTGGAGGGCTCCGAAGGCCTTTGAGGCTTCGGCAATACGGCGCTTGATGTCGGATGAAGAACGACTGCCGAAGCCTCATCCGACATCACACACACACACACACACACACACACACACACACACACACACACACACACAAACAAGCTGATAGAAGTACTCACATCACCGGCATTGCCTTGTTGCAGCCGAAACTCCCATTTATACGGCAGAGACGCCAGTTTAGTTTTCAGGTGCAAAGTCACCGACTGTGTACTCTCATCTTCGCCGGAAGACTGGATAAAACACATATACGCACGCGCGCCCACACACACAAAACGCGGAATACAGATTATGTGCAACTAAGACTCGAATGGACAGCCAAGGATTAAATTTAAAAGAAAGGACCAAATTGTTTCGTGTTATCCTTAGTTTGTGTCCCATAGTTTGTGTCCAACACTAACAGTAACAGTAACAACACTAACAGTTATAAGCAAGATGCTGTTAATTCATGTTATTTAGAACGAGGTCCGTCTCGTTGTCCAGGAGACGACCAATCAGTGACGTTCCCGCCAAGGCCCTCAGGCTAACTTGTCGGGCATTAACAAGCCATAAGGCCCGCTCTGCCATGCACTAACCTACAACTCATAACTTAGAACCTTCCAAGTTGGAAGGCTGTTGGTTTGCGCATCCAAGGCATGATAGAGCCTATTATCAGGTCGTTGAATGTCAGTATCACCTCAGTCAGTATTGTGCTAGCTGTTGCACTTCTGACTACACAACATCTTGCTTATAACTGTTAGTGTTGGACACAAACTACGGATAACATGTGACAATTTGATCCTTCCTTTTAAATATAGATTATGACTGTGATTATATCATCAATTTGGTATGGGTTCAAACAGGGACGTGGGCATTGGTTTGCTATAACGTTCATAGCGAAATTCGTTATTATGCGAGTTTGTTATGAGTGGAGTCGACTCTACAATTACCCCCGGTGCATAGTGTACACAAGCAAGGCATAACAAAAGTACAGTCGTCCCTCTTTAATCCAGCACTTTATAAACCAGCACCCTCGATAAACCAGCACAATTTTCAGTAGCCAAAATGTCCTTTTCATGCACATTGCAGCAGTAAATCCGATTTGTTAATCCAGCACCCTCCCTAATCCAGCAGATTTTCCGTGGCACAAATAGTGCCGGATTATAGAGGGACCACTGTACCACCACATTGATTATCAACAACACGATGGATTTATCATGCTTTTCTGGGAACAACTCATGAGCATGTCTTGTCCAGGTGTAAAGGCAAAAGGTTACATACATAGCTCTATACACGACCGTGTATCAATGTCTCCGGGTTGGTGTTGTGCCTAACTTATGGCTAACCTTTGCAAAGTGGAACTCCGCATCTTTGGATGGCTCAGTGCTGATGAAGGAGCTGACGTGTCTTATAAGCCGTGTAACCGGAGCTTCCACCTTGGGGTTGACTTCCTGTGCATGTGTGTGTGTGTGTGTGAGAGAGATAGCCCAAACCACATGCAGCCACAAAGCGAAATAAACAAAAACAACAACAATAACCACTTCTCGTATTTGCCACATGCCATCATGAGAATAAAAGATTTCAACAAACAACAAAACCAGGTTAGTTACACTACATGGCACATGACAGGAAACACGCTACGCCTCCATGCATACTCCTGCTCACTGTTGTTTAGGCCATGGTAAAAATTATCTTTGATTCTCAAGTACGCGCGCACCGATTTTTGGCGGCGCACCGACGATTTAAAAAAAACTCTATACATGCACATGCGCGCATGAAAACGGTCAATGCGAAAGGCATGAATCAGGGAGTAGTAAAATACCGGTATTTTTCTACTCCCTGGCCTGAATATATAAACATGTGACCATGTACATAATATTATGTCAAGAGTGCATAAACAAGAGTATGCAACTGTGGTTATGGGTCAGTGCGCGGCGCGCTGCCTTCATTACATAACTTGCCTTCATCACGCTCTGAAAGCATGCATTCAAACTCACAATTTCTCGTACGAACCCATCCGTTTTTGCTCGATTCGTTCCAGTACCTACGGGATCTCTGAATTCTGGCGCGTGAACTCCAGTTCCGTACGAAAGTTCATTTCAAACCAGAGGGAAAGTGCGGTGTTTGGTTTTCCGCAGTGCGCGGACTGCAGCTGAATGATGTAATGAAGGCAGCGCGTCGCGCATCTGGCCCATAGAAAAGAGATCACAGTTGCATACTCTTGTTTATGGACTCTTGATTATGTACATGTGTGACTCCACCCTATCTTTGGAAATAAAAAAATTGTGGGAAATAAAATAAAAAAATCGCTCGCGCGCTCGCACCAATTTTCACAGGCTCATGACCTGAGAATCAACTTTATTTTTTACCATGGCCTTACATACATACTAGTACGTGCCTTCATTGCTTTACCCATTCTCACCAATATTAATTCAGTACGTATTTTTTTTAAATACAAAATTTGTAGAAAAGAAAAAGAACCAAGGAACTACAAGTTACGCTACAATGTCCACTAACACCACCAGTTACTGAACAATCAGCTTATCCCCCCCCCCCCCCCCCCCCCCCCCCCCCGCCCCAGTTCATTCTTACAAAATGTGTGTACCAGTTTCACCAGATTTTGATGTTCAACGAGATAGTCGATCTGAGTAGAACCCGTACGCAAGCTGTATAATTCTAGTAATATTCTTTGGTTCAAACTGATGCACATACAAGAAGTAAGCTATATGAATATGAGAGCGCACCTTCGATCGAGCGTGGAACACGTCGGCGTCTAATTGCTCAAACCAGATCGACACCAAGTCACTAATAGCTACATGATACCCATGGTCATCGGCCACGGATTTCAGCAAGTACGAGTCGCCATCCACGGTCAGCGGCCGCCACGGAGCACTCTGTAGGCCTACTTTCCATTTCGTGACGGGATTCATCAGGTATAGCTTCTTCTCGACCTACTTTGCTCAGGGAGAACGTCAAAATAATAATAATAATTTTAATTTGTTGAGGATATTCGCTTGTTTCATTTCAAATCAGGGAAGGAGTTTGAATCTTGAGTCGGAATATGAATTATCGCACCCCACGTGAGTGTTTCCATGGTTTGAGCCAATCAGCGGCCTTACTGAGCGTGCAATATTCCCCAGTACACCGCCGGCCAATGTGGATGCACTGCAGTGCGATATTGCACCCCGGCGATCGCGCGAGTGAGCGTGCAAATAACCTATATTTGCACGCTCACTTCGAAGCGAGCGTGCAAATATAGGTTATTTTTTTCGCCGTTCGTGCAGATATCGGCCGGTATTGCACTGGTCCTTGTGCAGTAATACATAATAGCAATAAAAACTGCTTTATGGCAGTTTTCTAAAAAAAGTTATTGTGTTCTAGTCCATGGACCCCGTCTAAAAAGTAAGAAATTAACGAAATGTGATAGCCGAAAATTAAAATTTCACACAAAACCTCACAATAATCACAACACTTGAAATGCTGCTTTCAACACTAAACGTTACTTGTACTGCACCAACAATTGGCAACATGCATGCATAGGAAAGAGGATCACGAGGAGAAAAGGTCTTCTACGGTACATGTAGCTTTTCATTCTGTGTGTGATTATTGTGAGGTTTTGTGTGAAATTTTAATTTTCGGCTATCACATTTCGTTAATTTCTTACTTTTTAGACGGGGTCCATGGACTAGAACACAATAACTTTTTTTTAGAAAACTGCCATAAAGCAGTTTTTATTGCTATAATTTCTTTTGTTTTTTCTGTCACCAATCAATGGAATGCCCTATATCAAGAGTACATAACCCAAGAGTGTGCAACTCCAGCTATGGGGTCTGCGACGGCAGAACTTCACATCACGTGATGAACCCGTGCACTCTAGTATAGTGCATGATATATCGATAGATACTGGGTTGTACGCAGCCCAGCTTTGGGTACAACTCTCTTGTGGTCACTTTGCACTGTTTGCCAGCATAACCTTTTGAACCATGTCACGTGATGTGAAGTTCTGCCGTCGCAGCACAGCATAGAGGTTGTGCAGGCAGTTGCACACTCTTGGTTATGTACTCTTGCCTATATCAATATGTAAATGATGGCCTTCGAGCTTCACATCAATACCGTATTATACGCATGATGTGCAAGCCTTTTCTTGCAGAAAATGGCATTAGCATAAATGATAATGCATGTTCTTCGGCGGGGAAACATGTGAGTCGTGGTCTGGTGGTGGTGATACTTTTTTATACGGAGGTCATTCTGTGCATGTTGCAACTTGCTGTTGAAGAATTTCATGACTCTGTCATAAAATTGTCTTGCCTTTCAGATATTTCAGATTTCCCCACCCTCGATCAGATTTATTTGAGAAATGTAGCCAGGTGCGTGTCGCAGATGTTTTTGTTGATTCTGTGTTTATAATCATGGCTTATCGTGATAAGGTCATCCTGCATCATATTGCACTGAAATGGTAATCCTGTTGATGCCGATACAACTTTTGGAAGTAGTTCAATGACTTCAAACTGTTAGGCCACGATTTTCTAAAACAACACAGCAAAGGAGGAACAATAAACATGAATTAAAATGTAAACGAATACATTGCTGAGTCCAAAACCTCGTTCCAACAACTACACTGATCCCGAGGATAAAAGGGGCAAGGCTATGGTTGGAGGTACTGAGAGATAAACAAGGCACTCCACAATAATAAAATCTTACACATCTTTTGGTGATTATGAATGATATCCAGTCGAACCTCTTTAGGACGAACACCAAGGGACCGATGGTATATATTCTGTGAGTTTGTCTTAACCTATTTTATAACCAGTGAATACAATTATTTCTCCAATAGACATACGAATAGATTTCTTCTACAGCGAAAGATTCTAAGCCACACCGACTCATTGACTCGTCTCGTATGAAACAATTGAGTCACTACAGAGATTCTGCAAAACGAAAATGCGTACAAACTTTCGCTCTACATCATGAAGTGCGAAACTTCGCACCTTTGGACGCGAAACTTGCAGGGAACGCGAAATGAACTGTCGTAGGAAATTTCGTGAGATCGGGTCATGGCGTACGTGCACTTGGCCCGCGCAAACTACGAAAATGTGCAGAACGCAAAGTTCGTGCAAAAATTCGCACACACTTTCGCAAGGACTGTCGCGAAACTTCGTTCGAATTTTCGTTTTGTAGAACCTCTCTACTGAACCTTTCTTTAGCAACATGACGGCAACTGAAACAGCAACAGAGAAAGTACGATACATGTACTCCACATTCTTACAGGTACTACAAACAGATTGCAGATCGTAATTCTTGCTTTGGCGGCACGGAACTTTATTTGTGGCAGTGCAATCCCGGCGCTAGTCACAAATCAAACAGCCCAGACTCGAGTAAACAAATCCAATCATACAAGTACGAGATTTTCACGAGACGAGACTGCACCCATTGGATTGTTTCGTATGAAACAAACAAGTTACTGAACCTCTCCACAATAGAGATTTCCCCTGATATGCGAATTTATTTTGCAAACTCGGTCAATTGGTACTTGAAACTTTCCCTCCAGATTGGGAACTGCCAACGATAGTATGCCACTGACCAGTGCCTTACTTGTAACGTATCAATGTACAATGAATATGAGTATTTCGACAACACATCTAACATAAGCCTTACCGTCAAGAAGGTGAACTCGCGTTCTTCGCACACTGTAGACAAAGGCAAAGAGATAAAAATGGATCTAAATCCGAATAAAATCAACACACGTTTCCGTAAATGAAAGGGTGAACATAAGCAAATGAATCGAAGGAAACCGGTCAACTCAGTTACTTAGAGATCATCTGTCATCGAGTATTCCGTAAAAGGACGCCTCGCAGCTCGGCAGCAGAAAAGCAAAATTTAGAAAAGAGATCCTGTCAACTTTTCCATTATTTATTGCATTCCGCCCCAAAATCAGCACACTTTTCCTGAATGAAAGAGTCAACACAAGCAAATGAATCAAAGGCAACTGGTCAACTCACCTGTCATTGAGTAATATTCCGCGAAAGGAGGTCCCAGCAGCGCCGAAACGAAATAAGCCAGGCGAAATATCCGAAACAGCTCATGCTAGGCCTTGACGGATTATGCTAATATTTTCGTGAAATTATGCTTTTCGCATTGCTGAAAAAATTGCAGAATTATGCTATTTTTATGCTAAAAGTTACCATATTATGCCGCATTATGCTCACATATGCTGCTAATGCAAAATGGTTCTGTGCAAAATAACAAGGGAATTTTTTTGTAGAGGGCGTTGTACTGTAGTAGCAAAAGTTCAACGGGGTCAACGCATCGTCCGACCTGGCTACGACCATCACTGATTGTAGTGGACTGGACATATTATCAAGGGAGTCGTAAACCTACAACTTCCTAGTGCATCTACTTGTACTTGTGTTTGTAGAACATGTACAACTGTATGGAATTTGATGCGAACAGGCGGAATATTACAATTTTATGCGATTCGTATGCAATTTGCCTCGAATTATGCGATTATTCGAATTTGGTAGGAATTATGCGAAAAATTATGCTAGCATAATCCGTCAAGGCCTAGTCTAGATCAACAATTCTATAGACCTTATTCGATAACATGATTTTTAGGACTCGCCTCCAGGGATTTGTCGTAAGCTGGGGCATGCGTACGTGAAACAAGTGGCAAGAAAGGCCCAGTTCGTACAAAGGAGTAGTAACATACCGGTATTTTTCTACTACTATGTTCCCACACTGAGTCCTCTGTGCACTGAGTGCAGGTCTCTCGCCGCTCCCTGGTTCCCGGGACCCCGGTTCACGTGATTGTGACGTTTTTCGAATAAGGTCTATATGCAGGCATGCATAAATCAACCCTTCCACAAAGACGGCTCAAACAGGCAGCCAAGGAATGAAAATTTCGCTTCTGGGTCTAGGGGTGAAACGAAGGCCTCAATTTGCCAAATGAACCTTCTCCATCGAAACGAATGAAGGTGTCGAATGATTCTTTTACCAGTTCACAGTTCCTGTTCACGGGCACTCCCGGGGGGGGGGGGGGGGGGGCTACTATGCACTTGTAGTGACACTTACCGTAAGCCAAGTTGCACCTATGGAAGCCAAGTGGAACATGACTAGTTGACTGTACAGACTACATGTACATTGTAGTACAGTATACATGCACATGTATAGAGTGAAGATCAGTGCGTGCATGCCTGCCATAATCGTATGTTGACCTTCGTTCGAATTGAAAAGAGAGGGTCGTTTCGAAAAAGAAAAAAAGCTCAATGGAAGTATGATGCTGCTGACAATTCAAGACTCACTGAAGTCGCCTTTCTGGAATGGATCATGCACTCTAGGTTCATCCGATTGGATATGGACTCAAATCATTGTTACACCATTCTTGTTTGGTTAGTTATTCTACATCACATAGCATGTACAATCCACCTTGTGAATAATTTACCTCGGGTTTACAAAACAACTCGCAAATAATGACACAATCTTCAGATCTAGTGACCATTTGATTGCATACTTCCAACCTCACGAGTAACAACAATACACCAATAGCGACACTTTTCTCATTCACAATCGAGGGTCAATATTCCCCAGGTTGACTGCAATTGCCAATCAAACAGGAGGGGCGAAAGTTGACCACGGCTGAAAAGGCGTAAAGAAAATGTATGTCATGAGCTACATGGCAGAAGGAGGAAGTAGGTTTTCTGAGAAAGCAAGAAACAGAGCCAGAGGTGAATGAACCACCAGGTCTGTCCATGCAGTGGATAGAATTATTGTATTGAAAGACAGGCTCTTTACGTCAGCTTGCTACTATTATACCTACATTTGCTTTCTGCCTTTTTCATGCAGGATTCTGAAAGCTGGAGCAGCTCTGCTTACCTCGACCACTGAAGTTACAACTAACTTCCAACCAAGTTCAAGGCAGTATTATGATGAATCAAGCACGCTTGCCATCATTTCGTCATTGCAAAGTACATCGACAATATAGATTTGGTGCTAACTATGTATGATGTCAAGTGTGCTCTATGTATCTA